GGGGGGGGGGGGGGGGGGGGGGGGGGGTGACCACTACACTGTGAGAGCGGAGAAAGAACGATGGGCGGAGGATGATGTATTCATTGATGGCGAAGGCGCAAATGTAGAAAATGCACCTGCACTTTCATATGTGCGGTGGGCATCAATGCATCCATCATCTGGAAATATAAAAAAAAAAAAAAAAAGCTTTTAAAGGTGTCTCTTCTTTATCAAGTGTGTGGATGAAGAGCCCTGAAGGTGCAATCCTTCTCCTTAATGCACCAGAACAATATACAGTACATGCACAATGCTCATGTGCCCGAGGATAAAAAAAAAAACTGCACAGAAAGAAAGCAGAAACAACAGTCACTGCATGTAATCCCACTGGAGACAACAGGACGGACATCTGCACAATCAAAAGAGCTCTAATCGACGATTTCATGCAAAATGAGTGCAAACATTTGCCAAGGTGGAAGTTTGCGGAGATCCTAGATACGGTGTTGGTGCAAATGCGATCAATCCGTGGATGTATTGCCGCATTGAAACGTAGCTATCGCTCTGTTATAGCCATGGCCGTGCCTCTGTCAATGATTTGGCATTCATTGTTTGTGTCATTTGGGGAATCGTGACGTGCCTCTGAAAACGACTCCATGATTAATTCAGGATCATCAGTGGGTGAGTAAATGCTTTATTCTTGCAGAAGTGTTCATATTAATCATTCGCAAGTGGGTCTTAGTTCAGCATCTGTCTTGGAAAAGTTCAATAGACACGCATGGTCTCCATATTCCTCCTCCCAAGGCTTATTATCCATCCACTTTGTGCTTCGAAAAAGTGTCATATAGCTGTGACACCTCGGGATAGAAAAAGGTGGCCCATCAGCCGTAATTGGAGGAGCTGCGGTGGTTGGCTTTCAAGGGATGGAGGGATGGAGGTTGTGACGTGATCAATCCCCCTCCCTCCAAAGCCCCTCAATGAAAGCACAGCACAGAATTCCCTTTGGTGTTTTTGTTTTTTTTTTTTCCACACAAAAACAATCCTCATGAACATCGGTCGAACCCCGAGAATCATAATTAGCCACTTTGCTGATTGTCAACGGAATGGCGGCGCGTTAGATTTAGCATTAACCTTTCATAACGCTCCCATTCACCAATAAAGGAAATGTCAGAGAGGTAATTATCACCACCATGATTGATTGGAAACATTTCCCCACAATAATCTTGCTATTGTCCTTCCGCGTGTCAGCAAGGTGCACAGTATAATCGCTCACGCTGTTCGCAGAAACAATGAAATAACATGAGACTGATGATAATTTGGCCGATATGCAGTCGGCTGCGCAAGTGCTGCTCAGGAGGAAAAAAGTATTTTTTTTCCAACCTCATGCTGTTTTGTTGTTTCGGTCTCCATGGTGACATAGAGCAGCTGTGCCTCATCGTGTGTAAGAACAGATTGGCCCAGGTTAAATCCTGAGGTGTTTTTCGCTACCCTGCCCTGTTTGTCCCTTCACTTGCTGAAGGAAATGTATGATGGGGAACTCGTTTGAAGGCAGCTGCAGCATCACTGACTGCAACTTTGTGGCTAAATGTGGAAATTGAAAACACTAAAAATGTACACTGAAAAGAATCATTGTCTTCACTTTGTGTTTTGGCGTCAATTACCGTATTTTCCGCACTATAATGCGCTTCGGAGTATAGGGCTCACCTTCAATGAATGGCCCATTTTAAAACTGTTTTTATGTATATGGCGCACCGCATAATAAGCCGCATAGAATGGCAGCTACAATAGTGGCTGCGGTTTGCGCTATGCATCCACTAGATGGAGCTATGCTAAAAAGGAACGCAATGCAGCTTTTTTTATATCGCGCTTTCACAACCGCTGCAGCAGTAACAATTTCCTGTACTAGGTCTTGTTGTTTTAATCAAAGGAGAATACAATACAATAAATTGCATTGTAACAGTACGGAAAACAAAAGACTTTTCCTTGCTCAGGCATTTTTCAAAAGTCCATTACAACAGCTGAGTACACATTAATGCGCACCATCTTGACAAATGGTTTCAACTGGCTTTTATTGCTGAATCAGTACGGGGCCTTTTGTCTTTGCTGCTGCTTTTGTTATTGTTATAGTGAAGCTGCAGTGATTAATTTTGTCGCTGCCAAAAGTCACCACGTCCCAGAATTTGCCCACTGCCACAACAGCATGCTGGTACTGAAAATCAAATAGCTTTCTCTTCGATTCTATATGTCACAACATGCAGATTTGAATCACATTTGAGTTGTGGTTTGTTTTTTGTTTTTTTGGTCAAAATGGTGATCCCAAACTATCTGTGGGTGGTCAGGACTGAGCCGTACGGCATCTAGCAAAAATCTGCGAGTAACTGATTCCCAATTTGCTACTTTTGTCAAAATGAAGCTCCTCAACTCACTTTGAAATGTTCTTTTGACTCCCAACTGACCACACGGCGTGATAGTAATAACTAAACGGTGAGTCGGTGAGTTATTCAGCAAATAACAGTGGATAGGTCCAAAAATAAAAAGAGATGACTGAGCAAACTTGGGAGTATGTGGAGCTTTACTGTATTTTTAGTGGACTGTCATCTTCACGACAGAACTATTGATTTTACTTACAATGGCCATTAGATTTCCTCTCGAGCTGATGAAACATAAACGGGGAAGGTAATTCTCCTGAAAGGAAGCTTCATTGCGACACTGCAAGTGCGCACAGCTAATACATTTTTCATAGTGTGGCACCCAACTGATTGATTTCCTTTTCGGCTGAAAGGTACGGTTCTGGGAACAATGTGAAGACAGACATTGTCAAAGAGAGAAAGCGCGTGATATATATGTGACACTTAAGGAGCGGGAGGAATTTATTGCAAGTACTGGCTTTATCCAACGTGAGACGGCAATCTCTTGTTTGCCGTTTGTGTCTGGGATACGCGTTAGGGTGTTGAGAACAAACAATTTTGACACTTTCAAAAGCCACTGTACTGAATTAGCTTGAATAACGAGCACTAAAAAGTTTGATGTGTCATCAAATTCCTGATTATCTTCAACGCTATCCATGAAGCCTGACATGCTAAATAATTGAAGGATGACAATTTTGTGGAACATTTCTGGGAATGCCCTGTACAAAGCAAAGCACTTTCCATAAATTCATACTTGGATGAATGTGAAATGGAAGAACTTCCACACGGTGACCTCCATGCATCAAACACCTTAGGGATGAGCTAGAATAGAGATCCAGGGCTTGTGAACTAAGCAATACTCGTGTCTGCACTTTGTCTATCATGTTAAGTGGATGGCATGACACCAGGGGAATGAAAATGTGTCAACAAGCGACGCAGGAAGCTGACGGTAGCCATGGAGGTAATGACATGTTTAAGCCGAAGTGTGCATTGAATGTTTTATAAGCTGCTATTTTAACAACTGGGTGAGGGCAGCATGTGTGTGGTGCTTGTAAGGTTGGCTTA